TCTATTTTATTCCTTTATACTTTCCCCTCTCATTTCTCCTTGACTCTTTTTTGTCACAGATTTTTACTCTTTCGTTGCTTTTTTATTTTTTTGCTTTTTGGTGAAGCACTCGGGTTTAAGTGACTTCCCCAGGGTCACACAACTAGTAGGTGTTATGTGTCTGAGGCCAGATTTGAACTCAGGTCCTCCTGACTCCAGGGCTGGTGCTCTATCCACTGTGCCATCTGGCTGTTCCCTCTTTCTTTACTTTTTTTTTTTTAATTTTTTGCTAGGCAATGGGGTTAAGTGACTTGCCCGGGACCACACAGCTACTTAAGTGTTCTGTGTCTGAGGCCAGATTTGAACTCAGGTCCTCCTGACTCCAGGTCTGGTGCTCTATCCACTGTGCCACCTAGCTGCCCCCTCTTTCTTTACTTTTAAGCCCATCTTCATTATCCCCACTCTAAGATTAGGGTTTGTTTTGCCTATCACTAACCCCACCCTGAATCTGCCCTCTCTCTTATTCCTCCTTTCCCTCTCTCTCTGTTTCCCTATTCACCTGAATTTATTTCTACACCAAAATCAGTAAGTGTACTTTCAGCCCTCCTTTGACCAGTTTGGATGAAAGCTCTCCCCTTCCCTTAACTACATTCTTCCCTCTTTCCTTTCTTTGCTTGTGGATGTTCTGGAGTCATTCCCTTCTGAGTTTGTGTTTCCGTCACCCTTGACACCACAATAGCTCTTTTCGTGTTTGTCGTTGTTGTTGTTGTTTACTCTTTCTTCAGACTGCGTGTCAGGGCTAAATTCCGTGCACTTTCGATGAGACTGCAGTGGCTTTGTGTGATCCTGCCCTGTTTTATCTGGTGTCCTGCTAGTGGGGTCAGAGCAAAAGTGCAGAAACCCTCTGCTGCTCCTCGCTCTAACATCCTCCCTGCTTTTGATTTAGAGCACTAGCACCATGGCCTTTTCTTCTTCTGGGGTCTGACTCCTCAATCCTGGACCACCCTGGCTCCCTAGTTCCTGGCCAAGTATGCCTTGAATTTGTTATCTTGGGCTGAAAAGATGACCCTCTGTGGTCCACCCTTAGATGTTTGGTCACTACTTAGCCTGGCTGTGACCTGAGATCTTCCTTGGTGTAGGTGTCAAAGGAACTGCGTTATGATGTTTCTTTCTGACTCCACTGTATTGGCTGGTCTTTCAATCCTCTAATTTTAGAGACGAGGAAACCTCAGTCCAGATAGGACAAGATTTGTTCAAAGTCTCACAGAGAGTAGGTAGTCAAGCCCAAATTTGAACCTAGGGCCTTTGCCTCCAAAATTGGTGCTCTTTCCCTGTACAAGTGGCCTTTCTAACCTCTGACATCCTATGGTTTGTGTACTTTATTGATTTAATTTATCAAGCATTTGTTAAATACTTGCTAAAATGTGCCAGGTATTGTACCTGAGAATCATAAAATCTTATGATAGAAGTTATATTAGAGGCCATCTAGTCCAACTCTTCTCTTTCTAGATGAGGAAACTGAGGCCCACGGATCACATAAGTAGTAAGTCACAGAGTTGAGATTTGAATTCAATTCTTGTCTTTTTTTTTTGGCTTTGGCAGTTGGGGTTAAGTGACGTGCCTAGCGTCACACAGCTGGTAAGTGTTAAGTATCTGAGGCTGGATTTGAACTCAGGTCCTCCTGACTCCAAGGCCAGAACTCTATTCACTGCACCAACTAGCTGCCCTGATCTTGTGCTTTCTAGTTCATCCCTCACTTTTTGCAAAGTTCACTGAGCTTTGCAGAACATCCCCAGTTGGTCCCTGTCCTCTATGAACTTACATTCTATTGGGCACATAAGAGCTGATATTTACATAGGGCTTTACAGAAGTAGTAAGGGCAACTCTGAGCTTGCTCTGTGGGAGGGGGGAGGCATAAGAGTGGCCTCTGCTATGCAAACAGTATCATAAGTCTCACAATAATCTCATGAGGTAGGTTTATTTTTTATAGATGAGGAAACTTAGACAAAGAGGTTGCCTGGGATCACAAGCCTATGGGTATGTGAGGGGGGCAGTTTTCAGATATTCCAGAATTCCCATATTTAACCAGTTCCCTTAGATTCAGCCTATCAGCTCTTTGAGGAACAGCAGACCTCTGGGATCATCGTGGTCCTATTTTAAATGCGCTCAGGACTCAAAGAGAGTGATGTATAATTTTGCTGTTGTCTATATAGACAGGATCTAATTGATTTTGGTGTTATCCAACATCCTACCCTACTGTTCCTATTGTGTGTCATGTTGTTGAGTTCTCCCCAGAAGGTGAGTTGAAAAAACTTGCCTTTGCTGTAGCTGGCTGCTTGTCTGGGTCACCTTGGGGTTGTTCATGGGTCACTTTGGTCTTAACAGGAGCAGTGCTTTGGCTTGGAAAACATTCATTTCCCCTTGGCATTCAATTGAATAAAATGCTAGATTTGTTCTAGTCGAGTGGAGCTTATCAGTCTGTCAACATTGGTACCCCAGCTGAAATTCAGACCTCATCTCTTGCTTGGAAAATGTAGGTTAATCAAGGGAGGCACTGTGACTCAGAGATCCAGGCAACTGACAAAGATCTAATCTCTCTACAGATGAAATTTGTTTTGGATTTGGGCTATGACCTTGAACCAGGGCCCTGACCTTTTAGTGGCTCAATTTCCTCTCTATAAAAGTGGGTTAGTAACTTGGTGGAGGTGAGGGGACTCAATAAGGAGAGAAAGGGTGTTTGCAAAGTGTCTGGCAGAAAGAAACTGAGATGTTTCTGTTATGTTGTCCAAGAAAAGGAATTTCAAAATAAATGAACCAGGTAGATTGTAAAAGCTATACCCATGTATGCTTCCCCCCTCTCCTTTCTGCCGGTCAGAGAATCTTTGAGCTAGAAGGATTCTCAGAGTTTATTTAGTTAAACCCATATATGAATCAGAATTATAGAATTTCAGTTAGGGAGGCTTTAGGCTATCTAGCCTAATTCACACCTGAAAATGAGCTCCCACTGCAAAGTACCTGACAAATGGTCATCTGAGTTGTATGGCCCTCGACAAGTCACTTAGCTTCTGTTTGCCTCAATTTCCTCAACTGTAAAATGGGAACAATAATAGTATCTACCTCGAAGGGTGGTTTTGAGGATGGAATGTGATAATATTTGTAAAGCGCTTAGCTCAGTGGCTGGTCCGTTGTAGATGCTATATAAATGCCAGCTATAATCATTGTCATTATCTCCTGTGGTGGCCCATTCCACTCTTGAATAGATTGAAGTGTCTGACTCTGATGCTACAGAGAAAATTAGCTGTCCAGCACCTTTTCCTGAAAAGTGTTCCTCTTAGCCAGATATTCTACTGAATGACTGCCTTCCCAGGGGCAGGCTCCCTCCTGAAACAACTCCAGGCAGGCTCAAATGAGGATGGCCCAGACTGTCTGATGCCTCCCAGACTGCTGCAGTCCCAAATTCTCTTTGCTCCTCCTTGCTGCTGCTGCTGCCAGGAAGACAAAGTGGGATAGTTGGAGAAGTGTTCAATTCAGTGTCAGAGCTTCTGTGTTTGAATCATGACTCCTTTGTGACCTAGGGCAAATCACTTGACCTCTCTGGGTCTCAGTTTCCTTATCTGTGAAATGAAGGGGTTGAAAGTGATGACCTGGAAGGGTTCTTCCAACTCTGGATCAATGATCTTACGCTCTTCTGATCTTTAAGGTCCCTTCTAATTCAAATATTAGAGATGTTTGTGAAGTCAGAGGATTTGGGTTCAAATTCTGGTTCTGTCCCCATACTAGTGGTATAATCTTCTCCAATGGATAAGTCACTTCAGGGTTTCTTAAACTTTTTCCCAATCTTGACTCCTTTTTGCCTGAGAAATTTTTACATGACCTCAGGAATAGAGGCGTATAAAATACAAACATATAAAATATATAAATATATAAAATTCTATTATGTATAAATATATAAAATATATATAAAAATAAAATATAAAATAGGTATAAAATCAAACACTTGCTGATAATAAATCATAAAGAAATTTATTTTACAGCAATTCTTTGGTATGTATATAATTTTACCATTTATTAAAGATGAAAGCAAATTTGCATACTAATTAGATAGATATGCTTTTTTATTTTTACATAAAATATTAAATCTTGATGGAATATTTGCTACTACAGGATGTAGAACATCTTCAACGTTTTCCAGAGTTGATCAATATTTTGATTTTATAATCTTTGATGCTGAGAATGCCACTTCACATAAATACGTAGTACAAAATGGCAGAAGTATGTTTAGGGCCATTTCAGAAATTGTTGGAAATTCTGTCCTACTCCCAAGCCAAAATTCATTGAAGATTTTGTATGTGCAGTGAAAAACTGCAATTCATAAGATACAATAGTCTTGAATGTGAACCGAGGTGTTTCTGGCAGCGTTTGTCGGTATTGCTTGGAGTAATGGCCTGCAAAGTCCCAAGTGCACATGTTGTGTGTTCAGAATCAAGGCTGCAGTCAAGTTATGTGATGCAACACAGGAAAGCACTGCCAGAAACACCTCGAATTCATTATGCATTTGATTTTGAATTAATTTTTGGTCATTGTGCATTCAGAAACCTTTTACTGTTGCCAATTTTTTTGCGACCCCCACATTCAATTACATTACCCCATGTGAGGTCGTGACCCACAGTTCAGAAGCAGTGCCTTCTAGCTCTAAATCCTATTGTAACTGGGGGATAGAGGTGGTGTTATGTTGGTGGTCAGAAGGTCTTGAGACACACAAGTCTTCAGTAGTAAGGGATCATTGCTGTTGCTGTTTCCAACTCCAGTCCTCCCAAGGACTCCTGCCATGTCTGGCAGTGTGCTCCTACTCTGTTGTAAAAGTCACCCAAAATTACAAGCTTTACTCTTTTGGCACGTTGATGATGAAGGTCTCCAGGACTTCACAAAATTGTTCTTTGACCTCATCGGGGTTTGTCATGGTGGGAGCATGTGCACTGATGACGTGGCACTTTCCTGCAAGCGGCAATCTCAGGGTCATGAGCCTGCCCATTCATGCCTTTTGGGAGGCATACGAGCTTGTTGACTAGATTATATTTGGTTGCAAAGCCTACGCCAGCTCCACAGTGCTCCTCATCCCAGCGGTCACTCTAGAAGAACATGTATCCAGCTCCAGCTTTGGTAAGCTGGCCTTCATTTGCCAGCCTTGTTTCACTCAGGGCTGCTATTTGGATCAGCTGAGTTCTCTCACAAGAAGAGCTTTCAGGTCTCCTGGATTTTCTGTTGTCTGGTAGTGTGTACATGTTCCAATGGTAAGTGGAATCATCTTCACAAAAGTTTTTGTGCATTTTTTGTATGTTTTGACTGCAGGGTGGGATCCCTGCCTGCCATGCTAAGCAAGCCAGGGTTAGGGGAAGGAGACAATTTTTAGGGTACCTTTTCTGGCTCCTTCCTCACTCCAGGAGGTGAGCAGTATGGTCCTTCAAAAAAGCCACTCAGACACTTGGGGAATTGCTGAATCCCACTGCTGCTTCAGTCTAGTGAGATGATGACCCTATGGCCTGGGCCACCTGTATGCAGGGTTGTCACTACAGCTCCCAGTGTAACCATATCTGCTGCTTTTTCACTTGCCCTTGCCACAGGACTTCAGAGTTTGAAATGCCTATGGTCTATGCAAGTAAAACGTCCAAAAGGCAGATAGTGATATGGGGCCAGAGGACAAGAGAGGGATGAAGGTCTAAGACAGAGACCTAGGGGGCGGCTAGGTGGCACAGTGGATAGAGCATCGGTCCTGGATTCAGGACTACCTCAGTTCAAATCTGGCCTCAGACACATAATACTTACTAGCTGTGTGACCCTGGGCAAATCACTTAACCCCATTGCTTAGCTTAAAAAAAGAAAAGAGATCTGGAAAATAATCAGCATCAGGTTGAACCTATGGGATCTGACTAGATAGATAGCCAAGTGAGAGCAACAGAGAGAAAAGAGATGAGGTCCCAGTAAAGAACCTTGGGGGGCCACCTATAGTTAGTAGGTATGACCTAGATCCAGATCCTGAAAAGGAGACTGAGGGTTGGTGTGAGAGGCAGAAGAGGAGCTAAGAGACTGGAGAGTCATGAAAACCCAGAGAAGAGAGGCTGTGCAGAAGGGTTAACAGTGTCTAGTGATGCAGACTGTCTTACTAGTTTCTTCCTTACTGTCTACACACACATACCTGAGTGTTCTGCCATCTTAAAAAAAACAAACAAGGGGCAGTCAGGTGGCGCAGTGGATAGAGCACTGGCCCTGAAGTCAGGAGGACCTGAGTTCAAATCTGACCTCAGACCAAGCACTTGACACTTACTAGCTGTGTGACCCTGGGCAAGTCACTTAACCCCAATTGCCTAAAAAAAAAAAACCAATAAAAACCAACCAAACAAAAAAACCCCCTCCCTGCATCCTACTAAGCCAGTTAGCTACCATCCTAGATCTCTCTCTCCCTTCTTAGCTAAACTCTGAAAAAACCTTGGTACCTCCACCTCTTTTCCTCTCCGGGGCCATCTCCAGTTGTCCTTATCTATGTCTTTTTTTTTTTTAAGGCAATTGAGATTAAGTGGCTTGCCCAGGGTCACACAGATAGTATGTGTCAAGTGTTTGGTCTGAGATCGGATTTGAACTCAGATCCTCCTGACTTCAGGGCAGGTGCCCTATCCACTGTGCCACCTAGCTGCCCCCTCATCTATGTCTTGCCACTGGACCCAGGTGGCTCTGGAGGAGAGAGTGAGGCTGGTGACTTTGCACAGCCCTGCCTCCCTTGAGTCCAATTCACTTGCAAGTCATGGCATCACCTTCCTGATGTCAAAGTCCTCTCTGAGAACGAAGGACAAACAACAGCAATCTTTTCCTCCCATTCTCTTTGAAGCCTGCAATGTGGCTTCTCACTTCACTTGTCACTTGACTCCAGGGCGCCACCTAGAGGCCTCTTAGAATATAAGCTCTTCTAGGGCAAGGATTGTCTCAATTTTGTTGTGTTTCTATCTCTAGCACTTAGTACAGCAGCTACCACACTGAGGGCTTAATAAATGTCTATCAGTTTATTAATCCGTCAGTTAATTTATCAATCAATTAATCACTTAGTTCATGTACCTCACTGTTTTATGTGTTGGGGCAAGTATCACAAATGCTTAGGGGCAGCACCATGAGGGTGGAGGGTGTGTATTTGTGGGTTGGGGGGAGAAGAAAAGGGAAAGGGGGGCGGAGTCCTCCACACAAAGGCAAGATAAAGATCCTGGGTCATTGACGCAAGACTATTGAATATGAGTTGAGGAACAGGTTTGGAAGGCACTCATCTCAGCCTACCATCTAGTAGCTTCCTAATTTAAGTAATTATCCATGCTAGATAAGTGGTAAGCTTGGTTGTTTCTATGCTTCTGAAAAACAACAAATGTTATCATTGTGCCCTGGGAAAAACATCCAATCACCACACCCTAGTTACACCTCTGTCAGAATGTTAGATTTATGCCTTGTAGTCCTATAGTTCCACGTTTGTTTCCACAGTTGAGCGAAACCATAATAAAACACATCAGAAGAGAAATCTCCAAGTCACCTTGAATTCTTGCTATGTTCTGTGGGTTATTCCGTAGTCCCAGTAGGCTAGTTAGATAAAGCCAGGAAGGCTCTGTGTATCCCACTAGGTCCTTGCTAGGGTCCCTTGGTGGTATTTTGGGACTTAGCCTCTGCATCTGGAATAACAGGGACAAGCCTTGAGCATGAATTAACATAACCTCCAAATCCCTTTTAGTAACTAACATTTTAATAACTCACTAGAACATTTTCAGCCTCCTAGACCAAAAAGTAGATATTGTGGAATAATAGGCTCTTCTTTTTAAAAATTAATTAATTAATTAATTTTTAGTTTTCAATATTTGCTTTTATAAGATTTTGAGTTCTAAATATTCCCCCCTCCCTCTACTCCCCTCTCCTCAAGACGGTGTGCAATCTAATATGGGCTATATATGTGCAATCTAATATGGGCTATATATGTGCAATCATATTAAATATACTTCTACATTGGTTATGTTGTAAAAGAAAAATCAGAACAAAGGGAAAAACCATGAGAAAGAAAAAACAAAAAAACAACAAAAGAAAGAGCAAATAGTATGCTTCAGTCTGTATTCAGACTCCATAGTTCTTTCTCTGGACTTGGATAGCATTTTCCATCATGAGCCTTTTGGATAATGGATTCTTCTAAATTCACAAATTATTCAGTGTCAGGAATGGGGGAGTCAGTTTGGTATGTGGGAGGGATGTTGATTGGGGATCAGAAGACCTGGGTTTAAATCTTGACTCTTTTAACTGGATTCTTCTGGGACTCCACTCCCATCTTTTCTCTTGTTGCATTGACACACTGGTTATCCTCTGTCCTGGGCCTTCCTCACTTCATGGGTGAATTCCTTCCCTAGAACCTTAGGAAGGGCCCCAGACATGTTTCATTTTACTCTTGTCTGGTCTCTTTCCAGATTCCAACTCTCTTTCCTGTCTGTACCTCCTTTATTTTTCTGAACCCCCATTAGAATGTAAGTTCCTTGAGGGTAGGTACTATCTTACTTGCTTATACTTTCATCCCTAGTACTTATCCCAGTGACTGGTTATTAAATGCTTACAAAATGTCTCTGTTGTGTTCTCTCTCTTTGTCCCTGTCCCTCTGTCTAGTGGTATGATTTTGGGTGAGTTGTTTAATCTTTCTGGGCCCTCGTTCTTCATCTGTAAAATGAGGGTGCTAGGCTAGATGGCAGCTGAGGTCTTCAGAAGCTCTAAATCTGGAATCCCTTCATCTTCTGATCTCTTTTTGCCTATAGGACCTCTGAGGTCAGCAGCAGCACCTGCCTGTCTGCAAGCCCTTTAGAAGGCCCTGGTTACCCCAGGAAGCTTCTTTTGATCTTGTATCAACTTTCTTCTAAAGGACTTTCTTGAGTTAAATGAATGAAATCCACAAAAGCCAGTGTATATGAGGGCTCTGAACTTGTGACAAACAGTGGTTTGAAAGAAGGGAAACTCAGGTTCCACCATTTCTTTTGGGCATGTGAATGAGGACCATTACCCCCAAGACTTGGGACTCTTCCCTTTGCCAGTTATCACCAGTTCCGTGAATTTTATTCTCCTTCCAGAAGGGAAGGGAATAAGTATTTATTAAATGCCTACTAAGTGCCAGGCACTGTACTAAGAAGCTCTTTATAAAGATCATCTCATTTTCTTCACAGCAGCCCTGGGAGGTAGTTGCTATTATGATCCCCATTTTACAGTTGAAGAAACTGAGGCAGATAGAGGTTAAGTAGCTTGCCCAGGGTCACACAGCTAGTAAATGTCTGAAGCTAGATTGAGGACAGCTCTTCCTGATTCCAGATCCAAAGCTTTACCCGCTAATCCTTTGGCTGACAAGGATGCTTCCATGGGAATAGATTTCCGATTTTCGGCAGCATAACCAACTCTTCTCGTCCAGAAAGCCAGGCTTTCATGAGGAATGAGCTCAGACAAGCCTGACCAATAGAGGCATATGGGAAGATCCACAGAGGCTGAAATCAGGCTACTTGTCGGCTGCCTGCTGCTAGAGCCAGCCAGGAGCAGAGAGTGCTGACTCTTCAGTTCTGGCCCATTTAATTGAAGCCTTGGAGGCTGGAAGGCTCTTTAGTGCACCTGCCAGCTTTATTTTCAATCTTGTAGATGTGGCTACAAATGGGGCCCATGTTGCTAAGGAAATAGGGTTTCTCAGTTTAAAATAACCTTCAGCCTGCTGGTACCACAGCTGCTAGGAAGCGCCTTTTGACAGATCATAGCATCATAGACTTACAACAGGATTGGAAGTCTACACACATGCCATCTTTTCCCCCCTTTTCATTTTACAGATGAGGAAACCGAGGTGCAAAGAATTTAAGTGCCTTGTCTAAGGTTACAATCTTGTAATCTTTCTAGTGTCCGAGGCAGGATTTGAACCCAGGTCCTCTCAGTCTAGAACCAGTGCTTGTTCCACTGTAACAGGATAGACCTTATGCTCTCAAGATAGATCAGGAGTCCTGGAATTACCATTTTTCACAATAGACTTAGAGCATTAAGAGACCTTAAAGGTCATTGAGTCCAACTTCTTCATTTTAAGGATAAGGGAGCTGAGACCCACAGATGTGTATGACTCACTCAGAGTCCTGGGATCATAGATCTAAAATAAGAAGGGACCTTAGAGATCATTCAGTCCAGTCCTTCCCCTCATTTTACAGATGAGGAAAAGGAGAATCAGTGGAGTTGTGCCCTTGATCACAAACTGATCCGGGGCAGATGATGG